CAGTGAGACAGGTAGAGTCAGGTACAGTGAGAACAGGTAGAGCAGGTTACAGTGGTGAGACAGGTAATCAGAGCTAGGTACAGTGAGACAGGTAGAGTAGGTACAGTGAGACAGGTAGAGTAGGTACAGTGAGACAGGTAGAGTAGGTACAGTGAGACAGGTAGAGTAGGTACAGTGAGACAGGTAGAGTAGGTACAGTGAGACAGGTAGAGTAGGTCTAGTGAGACAGACAGGTAGCAGTGTTTGAGTGACAGCTGGATGAACACAGCTCTTCTTGTCAGCCTCAGATAGACAGGCAGTGAGACAGGTTCTGGTTCCTGTTGGCCTCAGATTGGATCCAGATGTTGACTCTGCTACTGTTCACACTTTCTCTCACTGCCTCACTGCTTTACTGTCTACCTGCCTACCTGTCTCACTCACACACTTCCTGTCTGTCTGCAGACCTACCTGAGCTTTCTCAGAAATACACCCTGACTGTGCTCTTATCTCCAAACGTCATCTAACTCTCCAGCTCTTGACTTTGTACAGAGATGAAGAACTCTGGATGTCAGTGTTCATTTCACATGTAGAGATATCATGTTTATGTGGATTTGTACAAAACAAAGGCATTATATAAACCTGAACTAACCATTCAAAGCTTTTTGGTCAGAGTAGTGACATAGTGTTCATTTCGGACCCTATTTTCACATTTGCTTATCTTTGGGAGTACTCTTTATTTCACGATCTGTAACACCAGTTTTATTTTGAAAATGATTGTCTGTCTCTACTTCCTGTCTCTGTGTGTTCCTCCTGTTTGATCAACTGACCTGGGTTGCGGTCGAATAGTCCATTTAGCTTAGGAACCTTCCTAACGGAGTGAAATGACCCGGAAGTACCTCAGTGGCAGCCATGATAAGTGCCGTTCCAATTCTCCAGATGATAGGAAAGGAGGTTTCAAACTTCCTTTATAACCTCCTTTAGCTTAGGAACCACTGGACCTCCCTTGACGAAAGGAGAGGAGAAAATGCTGCCCCACAATGCATTGCAGCCGCAGAATTTGCCGTCACACAACAGTCGGCCGTTCACGGAAACAACCGATTATGACGGAGAAATGATATCATGAAAGTTACGGTGCTTATTAAGCATTTTAAAACGTATGTGGAAAGTTGCCAAAGTACTTTTTTCTGAACGTTCATCAGTATTATAATCAAAGAGAGAAATATGAACGTTAGTTTTTACTGAAATGATCAAATAAAGTCAACATCTCACAGTCTTTACTGAGCTGTGGGGGGTTTGTTCAACTTTTAAAAGATGTTTGAATGGTGATATACACAGTGATAGATGTTAAGGACTAACGTTTATAATAAATACATTTGTATTTATTTTAAGATATTTTCATAGTTCATACAATCATACGTATTGAGATCATTTGTATTAATGTGGACCGGAGGGAGAGGGGGACGAGCATAAGTTTCACTTTCCTTTTTTATTTCAATTCCAACTTTGGTCATGAAGAATATGTTTCTCTGTTGTCCACGTTCATAAAGCATAAAGCAACAGAGCACGGTGCAGAGTCTCTAGATGAGTTCACAGGAGTCCCTCGTTCTTATTGAACATCCATGTTGTAGTCCTCTGTATAGAGATCTGTAGTTTCCATAGTTTCCCCACAGCAGCAGACGCACATTCATGACGTCCGCTGGCGCATCATAAACACGTCGGATAGTGAAAGTGCAGTCGGATTCTCTAAAGTACCGCGGTCTCTTCTCCTAAGTCCTTTTGAATTCTCCTATCCACTATCCCTTAACCCCGTGACCTTACACTCAGAGGTCAAGGAATAGACGATATGGGTTAGACGATAGGAGCTGATTTTCGGACTATTCGACCGCAACCCTGGTGTATTTGTTCCTTCCCTCCCCAGCTGTGTCTTGTCCTTGTGATTAGTATTTGTATTTAAGTTCTGGTTTTCTGTTGTCAGATCCTCGTTATATCTGTTGTGGAAGTGGTTAAGTAGAGTTTCATTAATTTAGTTTCACCTGGCCTTGCCCTGATCTACCCGAGTCTGCAGAACTGTTGTCTCTAAACCCATGACTCTTTAGCAATGCAATGCTATTCTATATAGATCAATTAAATCAATATTGAGTAGCTCTACATTTTGAGGAATTCTGGGTTAGTTACAAACAAAAAACATTGCTTACCAACAATGAAATGTAATCGTATTTTCTTGTTTGTTTACGTAAGACAAGTATATTATAAAGTCTTCGTTAATCCACGTAGGAAACGGGTCGGGTAGGATCGAGGACTTTAACCCAGAAAACGCATGTTTATTCACGTAATATACTCTACTAATGCACGTAACTTCAGACCTTACATCTTGATCTTTTACCAATTCTCACCAAGTCGTTTTGTTTCATTTCACTGCGTTAATCACGTGTTTCGGACTGATATCTAAATCTGTGAAAGAATACGCTACTAAACTAAATAAGCTACTTCAAAACCTAATCGAGGTTGCTAGTGTGTGGAGACGTGAACAGCTACAAGGACATTTAATTGGAAAACTTAGAGAATAGCCCAAAACACTTTCTGTAGCAAAACATCTCAACGCAGCGCGGAGTTGTTGAAGCTTTTTCTGCCGAGTCAGGATGAGGATTTCTTGGGTTAAATGTAAAATACGAACAAGTGTATATTTCACGTTACTACAATCTTATGTTACTCAATTGTTGTTACTTGCTAGACATCAATAAAAACAATTCAGGGGTTTTTCCAGAAAAATAAAGTATGACTTCCGGACAAAATTACGACCCTGAGTTACGGTTTCTTTACGTCCTCTACGGAAATAAGGACGGTAAAAGAAACTGATTCAGAAATCACCGTCCATCTGCGGACCGACCGGACATCCATCCCATATTTATTCGGATCTCCGTTAAAACCAAGCTCTCTCTGCCGTCTCACGCTCTATTTGACACGGTTTTCATATATCTGGAGTAATTATAGAGTTTTCGAGAAATATTGTTTTCTGGCATAACTTTAACATTTTACCGGGAAATCTGCATTTTGGTATTCTGTTATCCAATTTAGACAAAACCCTGAAATTGAGCGCTGTTCTCCCCTTTGGCGCCAATGGACAACATATCGTAAACCAAAGAAGTATGGCTCATGTATTAAAGTATTTCATCTACCTGTGTTACACATATTTGTAATTTGCATCGGAGTGGAAACTTCTGCAATGTTAAGAGATTGAAATATCTCCAATTCCTTTTTTCCAACAAATTGGCCACGGTGGAAAAGTTTAAAGAAAATGCGACAACAGAAACTTTATATCTAATTTAACAGACATTTTTATCCAAAGAGACTTACAATAAGTGCAAACTGAATTACTTCATGAGTGAATTAATGATCATGTGTCTTACAGTGAAGACCTGAAACCATGAGATCTGTGTGAAGACTTCTTCACATGAAACCAACTCAATTCCGTTTTCACATCGTGTTCTCCACATGGTTTTCCATCTTTTCAGCTTGACTGGACTTTGACTTCCGTCCAGCTGTGAATCGCCACTAAACAACTTCTAATACTCACACAAATGTAGGATTTAATGGGGAAACTTGTTTAAAATGTGGTTTAAATTTGGATGACAACTGTCATTTAATTCAGAGTTAGTCTCGGGACACAGTGGGTACTTCTTTAGGTCTGAGAGAAATCCATTCTTATTTTTGTGAAATGGTTTATCTTGTTTTAAATAAGACAATAATCTACTGTCCTATTTCTGTATTTACCTTCAGCCTGTCTCACTGCCTGTCTGTCTCTCTGCTTAATGGTCTGTGTGTCTGCCTGAATGCTGGCTTTTACACAGAGCATCACCTCCAGGCAACCAGTGTGAACCCAGAGCACACACACAAACACACACACACACACATACACACATATACACACACAAACACACACACACATAGAAACACACAAACAAACAAACATACACACACACACACATAGAAACACACACACATACACAAGTACACACACACACACACACAAACACACATAGAAACACACAGTCACACACATACACATACATCTATTTTTAAACCTCTGACTTGAAGTTTTTTGAATCTCAAGGAATAAACAGGAATATTCCATTGTCTCTTGTTTCATTTCAAACACAACTAGGCACCATATTTGTGCACATGTTGTTTAAAAAAAAATCAGTGAAAACGTTTTGCTTTCTTACTTTAAACCAAAACCAGCCATAGAAACGAAGTAAATGCACTTCCAACATATTCAAATATTTTAGTTTTTAAGATCATGGAGCTCTTTAAATGGATCTCGCTCCAGTAAAGATTTAGAAAAGTGAACTCCAGACTTGAATCTAGACATTTAGAGTCTGTGTGAATCAATGTAATACATCTGCCAATCATTTTATCAAATAATGACCTAAAAACTGAGAAACTCCTGATCAAAACTTCCCAACCCTTAAGGAAACAAAAATCTAAATATATTAAGTTCGTATCATAATTTAAGACAATGAAAAGCATCACATTTTACCTGTAAAAAGATAGAACAAACGATGGTTTAACACCTTGATTGAAAAGTGACTCTTGTTTCAGACACAAAAATGCATTATAAGCGGAAATAAACGTTAACTTTAGCCCTAAATGTCATCAAAAGTTGTTCAAATCAAATTAAGTCCTGCTACCCTGCAAAGCATCTCCACTGAGGAGCATCCATTCCTGCAGGCTGCACGCATTCATATCGTTAAAACATGTCATACTCGTGTGAAATTAACATGCACTTAAAGTCTAATAATTCATGCAACAAGTCTGTTTCTTTCTGACAGATTCGCCCCGGTTCTCCGAGGCGGATTCCTCTCTGCTGGACCCGGCTTCCCTCTCCCCTGCCCCGGATCCGCTCTCTCACCTGGGGTCGCTTCTGGCCGGAGGATGGGACAGGTAAGACCGGGGAAACAAGCTCCAAGAAGTCCCGAAACACACGCACAATGTCCCGGGTTAACAGAGGTACTGAATCCCAAACGGTGATTGTTCTTCGTGCTTCTCCTCCGTGTTGCTCACTGCGGGAATGAGGAGGTACAGCGATGGTGTGGAGGTATTAAAACTGCAGGAGGACAAGTATTTGTGGAGGAGGAGGAGACCACACCCCCATGCACTTTAAATTCCGAACAACGGGGAGCGAGCAGAGGTGGAAGAAATGCTCAGATCCTTCACTACAGTAGAAATACCAAAGTGTAAAAAGTATTCTGCTACAAGTTAAAATCCTGCATTCAAAATCTTACTAAGGCAAAAAAAACGAAAGTTTTGACATCAACATGTGCCTAAAGTACTTGAGGAAAAGTATTTGGTTCATTTCAAAATGATATATTAAATGACTGGATTATGATTATGGATGCTTTAATGTGTTCATCACAGCTGGTACATGTGGTGCTACTTTTAATAACTGTATATACTGCTGCTGGATATCTGTGGTATATAATATGAATATGTTAAGTATAGCTTAAATTGTCAGGTAAGTAAAAAGTGTATCACTTACTTGCTAAATGTAGTGGAGATAAACAAAAAATACTCAGATAAAGTACAAGTACCTCAAAATAGAATTTAAAGAGGCCCTATTATGCTTCCCAGTGTGTTATGTAGGTTTTAGTGCATGTAAATGGTCTGCAAAGGCTCAGCTCCTCCATTGGACACATGGTGACATCAGTATGTTACACTTGCGCTCCTATTGGCTAGCACTCCAACAAATTGTATGTGACTAGGCTAAGGGGCGGGACAGCTGTTGACCAATCACAACAGAGCGGGTAAGCTAACCAATCAGAGCAGAAACATCCTTATTTCTGAAGTAAATTGTAACTACTGTAAGGCTGTAGAAATAAAAGTAACATTTACAATATTTCCCGTTTTAATTGGGGCAGAATAAAAGTATGAAGTGGCATTAAAATAAAATACTCAAGTAAAGTACAAATACCCTTTATTTGCGCTTGAGTACAATATTTGAGTAAATGTATTCCCTTTTGAAATGTTTTCACAATCAGCTGATACTGATGGAAGGGCCTTTATTCATAATAAGTATTTTTACTTTTGCTACTGAAGTACATTTTGACTCCAGTACTTTGTGTACTTTTACTTGTTACGCAATTTTTACAATTCACTACTGCTACTTCTACTTGAAAGCCGAGTACTTCTTGTACTTCTGAACATAACTCAATAAACAGCAGCCTCTTGCAGGAGGGAATGAGAAAAACACATCAAATCCACGCAGAGGAAACGTAATACCAGAGGACATCCATCATGGTACAAACAGTTGGAATATCAAAATGTGCCTTTTTAAATTGTTCAGCAGATTCACCTGATACGACGTCTAAAACACAGACGGTTACCTTTTGTTTTAGTCTGGTTAGAGAATCAGGTTTATTACGAGGTACGTACGAGGAATTTGACTTGGTGTTGTAGCGCATACATACAAATACAATTAAAAAAACAGATAGAAAACTATTTGAAGAAAACTATAATAACATTCAAAAATAAAGCAGTTTTTAAATTGAATATGATTGAAATCGCAGTAATGAGAAACAAAATAATTGTAGGATTTGAAGGAGGCAGGTCAAATCAGATGTACACTTCAGGTGAAATGAGTGGTATAGGAATTAAGAGTAGTTGTTTATTGGGACCTTTGACTTAACTTAAAGGTATGTTATATAGAAGTTCCGCTTTAATATGTCTTAAGATGACTAGATCTTTGTTATATATTTTGTAGAGTTGTGTAGTTTCATTAAAAGTTGTAAAATGTTCCTGTAATGGTGTCATCCACTTTGAGCTTGTCATAAACTGACTTTGTATCCAGTTTTAAACCACATTTTTGTCATACACTTGATACATCTTGCTGCGTTTTACCTCTATATTTTAACCAGATAACAATGAAGACATCAATCTGCTTAATTCACAGTTTTTACAGCTTGAACATTGAATGAATCCTTACCAGACTACAACTCCCATGATCCACCACACCGTCTTTTGTTATTGTTTTGAGCAAGACAATGACATTTAGGGTTGAGAGAAAATGTCCAATAAGATGTCCCCGAAAGTACATCCTGGTTTTTTCTTCTTTGTTCTAAATTAGTGGATTTTAACGTATTGGGGTCAGGAGATCATTCATCGGGGTCGCCAGATCGAGAGATAGAAATAACCAAGTAAAGTTCAACGACCTCCATTTTGTAATATTTCATAATTGTGCTTGATTACATCCCACTCCTGCTTTTGAGTGCCGGACTTTTACTTTTGGGGAGTATTTTTCTAGGAGTTATAAGTACTTTCACTGCGGTGAAGGATCTGTATACTTCTTCCACTGCTGTGTTTTTGACACATTTCATTTAGATGACCCTTTATCCAAATTAACTTAGAATAAGTTCAATCAACCACCAGGAAATATAGTCAGAACAGCAGAACATAAGCTTCAAAAAAGCCAAATATGTTGAAGTGCTGGTCCCTAAATTAACACCTGTTGAGCCGCACTCTCTAACTAAACTAAAGATGATTGTAGTCATTTCAACTCTCAACCTCCGGCCCTGAAGATTTACTTTTTTGGAGGTGAAAGTGCGTTTTTTTTCTCGCTTCATTCCTCCTTCACCCCTTCCTCCCTTTTTCTTTCTTTCTGTCCATTCTGTGTTCCCGGTGTGAAATGCCAGAAGCTCTAAACTCCCGACACACTGACCTCTAACCTTTGAAGAGGACAAGGTCTAATTTAGACCTCTGCTGCCACTCTGGTGACTGAACACACACACACACACACACCCAGCTGAGTGTGACCCCTGACCCCTGACCTGTGGAGGTGTTCAGGGTCACTGGGATCCCCTTATGTACGAACAAAACATTCAGTATTCGTCCGCAGACTTTCTTCCTTACAAGGAGTCGTCGCTCGGCTCTGAATACATGAACCTCTGTGAGAGTTAACAACCAGGAAACAAAAACACTACGGCTGTTAATCAATTTAAATATTGCAACGTGATTTATTGGCACAAGATTCCAGTTAAAAGCAAATTAGTGCTGTCGATCGGTTAAAAAGTGTAATGCCTTTTATCCCATTCAAAATCCCAAGTTTAAAGTACCAGTACTTACCTTTAGGCGGGATAACACATAAACACATGTGGTGATGAAGTAAAGCAATGCATGGCAACCTGGTAAGAGAAATTTGAGGGTTTTTTATATTAAATATAACATGATTTCTGGATTATTGGAATGAAATCCGACAATTTTCCCGACACTTAAAGCGTTTACAAAGTCGCTGTCAAAGAGAGCCGCTGTGAGGACACTGTATAATATTTGGACATAAACTAAATACTAAAATATTTGATGTGTATTTCACTTACGTCGTCTCTGGTGTCACTGAGTCAGATTACCAGAACACTTTCAAGATATAAAAAGAACCCTCTTATTTTTCAATGTGTCACTAATGCAGTGTTTCCATCGGAAACTATGCTTGGCATGTCTTTATTTATGTCACTGCTACGAAGTCCATTATGGAAATGGGTTGAGTGTCTGGAGATGTTTAGTCTGAGGGGTTTTAATTATTGTGAGGATAACTAAGAACCACTTTACCCACTTTCACTTGTCTGTGATGCAGATACAGCTGAGAAATAGTTTGTTTAATTTGATGCCATATATCAAATATTCTCTTTTAACACTCTTGTGGTTGTCACACTTGTTTTTTCCATCACATTATTTGATTTAGAAACTAGAAAAAGATTGGGTTAATTGACTGGAGTTTGTATATTTATTTTCTATATTCAAGTTTAATGAGCACATATCACTTCACATTCACTATCTAATCTAATATAATGTTATTTACAGTAATTAACAATATTTATTTTACCTGCATTCTTCCTAATGGCCAGCAGGGGGCTACTTTACCAGTTGCAAAAAATGGCATAGTAGTCCATGAGAAAATGTCCTTACTTATGCTTGATTTATCACCTCAGTAATCATTTTCTGTTAAATTTATGGTCTCAATCTGTAGTTTAAGTCTTCTTCAGTACAGCATGATGATCATATTGTAAATAATAGTCAGTTATTTTGTTAAATAGACGTTAAGGCAGACTGTGCTTTACCTTCTGAGCTCGCAAGTAAGACATCTTCATTCATGCAATACGAAGATGAATGATTACGTTTGTGTGCGGTTTCAGGTTTACTTTCAACAGTTACAGGAGTGGATGTTTGTTTTTGTGCAGTACCTGAGTTGGCCACTAGGATCAGGCACATGGAAAATAAAACAATACTTCCTGGTTGTTTGTGACTGACATCTTTCTTGTCCAATCAGGAGAGCGGATCAGAGTTATCAGAGCTGCCAGTTACCGGGTCGAGAAGCTCACGCTGACCAGAGCGTCACCATCCTGCACGCCAAGGTCGCTCAGAAGTCCTACGGCAACGAGAAGAGGTTTGACCTTCTGTGTTTCTATCTCCAACCCTAAACATGCAACCATTTAAAATGCATGTATAACTCAGGGTTACTACCAGTCTTTACAAGAGGTAGGAGGTAGGCAGTGATAGGAGAAATGTTTTGATTTCTCACTGAAATAAAAGTAATATTAACACAAATGATCCACTAATTGTAAAGTCTTGCATTAAACCCTTACCTTAAGGTATCTAAATGATGCTTCTGTTCTACTTCAGGTATAGTCTTCTATTAGATTAGGTTCACATGCTTTTATGTTCCCCCCTCACCCTCCATGATTGATTGATTGATTGAAAAGTTTATTAACAGCTTGTATATTGGGTACAGTACAGTACAGCTCAAAACATACAATTGTTAAGGGGATGCAGACCAGAGAAAGACTTTCGTCTTGTTTACATCAGGGTCCCCCATTTCCAATTCATCATATCATTTAAGACATATAAGACATATAAGACATACAGATGGCTTATTTACAATTTACATACAGGTGGTTTTTTACATACAGATTGCTTGTTTACAATTTTCATTTTAGATTTCGTTCTAATACATCCTAACCGGACATTTAAGACATACCAAGTCTACAGATATACAGTTAGTAACAGAGTCTAAAATGCGAGTATATACATAGATGGGGGGGGGGGGGGGGAAGCTGTCCATTGAACGACAGGTTGAGATTTGTACCATTACCGGGGC